TCGAATTTCATTTTGTTTGCTTGTAATACCAACTCTATATTAGAAAAATGGTAGTGATAGGATGATAGCTACATCCGCTAAAACACAAAATACACCCCATTATGTATAATTTTGTTATTATTTTAAAAAATTATATAGACTTTTTAAAATTAAAACAAACATTATAAATATACTTTTAGAATTAACTGCTTAATTTATTTTGTTTCTTTTCTAAAAAACTATATGATTTTTTAATATTAACTTTAAAATATTTTGAAGATGATATTTTAATTATTTATTCATTAACAACAAAATAAATTTCATTATTCTTAAATTTGATGACCAATAATTTTGTAAAAGATTTCCATTTCTAAGTATTATACCAACATGTATTTCCCTATTCTAATTTTTTAATATACATTATTATTTTAAAAAGAATATTATGTAAGTTTTATTATATTTTTTTAAGGATATGTAAATCCTTATATAAAATTTAAAACTGAACATCATTTTCCTTTTTATTGCTTTTCAAAAAAAAATTATTTAAAATTTAATAAGTGTACATCATTATTAACATTACAACTTTTATTTTAAAAATATCATATCTTATTATTAAAAAAGATTCAGATAATGCATAGGTAATATTTATTAGAAATTTTTATAAAAAACTAATTAGTATAATTCAGAATATAATTTTATCAATATGTTACAGAGTAAAAAATTACAATATATAACAATCCATGTGAAGCACAAGAATAAAAATAGTTTAGAAAGTAGGAGGGCGAAATTAGTATGTGGAGTGAATTTCGTGTTTTGGTGGGATGTGACTATCACCACCCTTAGAAAAAATATTACACAATATTATTGTGTAATAAGATATGGAGCAATAAAGTATGGTCATATAAAAAAACAATAATGATTTTAATTTTTTAGCTCTAAAATGTTTATGATTACAAAAAGTAAATTGAAAAAATAATGTTGTCTCTCCAATAAAAAAGATCTCAAATTTCCTTCCTAATTGTCACAAAAAATTATTTTTCCTTTTCTAATCCCTTTCAAGTTTCAACCACAGAGACCTTTAAAAAAGTGTATGGAGAAAAGACCAAAATAAGAATGAACATTGAAAATATATCAAAATAAAAGCTCGTTACATATTTTTATTCTCAATATAGGAGTTAAAATGCAATTACATTATCAATCATGATCATGTACATTACCAAAAAGTATAGTAAAATGCACATCTACAATGTCACATTATCACAATACTTTCTCTATGTTTTACTCTTATTTATGATGATTTATTAAAGTGTCCTCTATCATTACCTTTTCCCTACACTTTGGAACATACTTTCTCAGATCTCAACATTAATTTTTTTTAAACCCTTCTCATTTTTCCACTATATACTCCACTTCATTTCGTAAAGATAAAGGAAATTTCTTTTTTTAAAGATAAGAGTGAATTTTTTACGGTAGTATATACTCTCTCTTCTTCTAAAAATTCTTCATAGTTTGATTTTTTCTATGAGACATAATACTCATTAACCATAAAATGTGAGAAAAAGTATGTTAGAATATATTATATCAAATTTTTATACTCCGTAATCTTTAGCATTATTATTTTGACTAAAGAAGCAAAATATGAAGAGTTTTAAGAGGTACTCCGTATTTAGTATCATGTGTTTTATTTCCCACTGGCCATTGTCCACTAGTCATTGTTCAAGTAAATGTCCACCGCCATTGGACATTGTTCAAACTAAAGGTCCAACATCACAGGAAATTGTTTCCACCAGCAGACATTATTCAAGTACTATTTAAGGAATAAAATTTAAAAGTTTAAGTACTACATTGGGAATTGCCATATGTTTCAGTACTATTTATGCAAATTTCACTTAAATTAAACAATGCATGGTACTTCCCTGTCCTCCTCTATTCTTGAATATTTGTCCATTTTTGACTTTTTTCAGTCAAAATTGGTAAACTTTGATCTCAAATTAAATAAAAATGATACTTCGTATTAGATATTGATACAAAAATAATTTTGATAGATTTATTATATCAAATATTTTCAAAATATCTTTTTATCTAATTAATATACAATATACTCCGTATATTTTATTTAGTTACAGGTCAAATGTTGAAATTAATTGAACCAAAAAAATTAAAACTGGTTAATTAAGAACTTAAGAGAAGCAGCATACCTGGTGAAATCCTGGCTCTCGGGTAAGGGGAACACCTAGCTCCGCCATGCAAGCATGAATCCGATCATCACTCCCATACAACCCGGGGTACCGGGAAATGCACCGGTCCTGCATTTTCTCTAGCTCCGTGGCCAACGGGTAACTGATGGCAAACCCCCCGCCCCCGTAGGCCATGGAGTAGGAGAAGAATATGTTCTGGACGTGGCTCTCCGACGAGCTTCCGATGTAGTAAAACTGGTTGTGGTCATACTTGTTGAGCACCCTCACCACATTGTCCACGAAGAACACCGTGTCGTCGTCCCCCATCACCAGCCACCGCACGTCCTCCATCCCCAGCCTCAGCGTCTCCGACACCACCCTCGATATCCGCAGGGCGGACCTGTCGCCCTGCCGGTTCGTGTAGTTGAACCTCGAGGTGTCGCCGGAGACCCTGATCTCCGGCAGCGCCTCGTTCCTCCCCACCTCCACCTTCCTGTCGAGCCAGACCGCCCCCCGCGTCTCCTCGGGCCTCCACCACGTCTTTATGTACTCCTTCCGCCTCTCCCACAGGCTCGACGACGCTGCAATCCCGAACACGACGTGCCTCAGCTCCGTGTCGTCCCGGAATGAGGGACGCTGCGGGGGAGGCGGGGGAGAGGGAGGTGGTAGGGGAGGAGGAGGCGCAGGCGGGACTAGGACAGAGAGGCGAATGTGCCGATCGTCCTCGTCGTCGTCCCTGATCACACAGTCAGACCGAGGGGACGACGATGAGGAAGAGGACGAGTAGTCCTTGATGAGGATGACTTTGGCGGAGTAGAATACGTAGACGAGGAGGAGAGCGACGAAGAGGCACGTGACAGATTTGCGGAGGCGGCCGGGAGGTCGAGAGGAGGAGGTGGTGGTCATTTGGATGTTGATGAAGTCAAAGAATTGTTTGATGTTGAAGATGGAAACATTATAATCCGGCCGGAAGGTAATTAGCTATGGCGTACGTACGTGTAGAGGGTAGCTAGCTAATTAGGAATGCATGCATGCATGCATATATGGAAGTGAGTGATGGAGAGAGAGCTTAGCTTATTAGAGTGAGATATGTTCGGATCGTGATATAATCACATGCATCAAAATGACTTTTCTCGTCTAAGCGTTCACTTTGACTTTTCTTGTTCACAAACTTTACTTAGAGAGGAAATAAATTAAGTTTCTTAGACTCGATTCCACAAGTTTTGCTTCAATTATATGATTATTATCTTTAATGAGATACTTTTCAAAAACAAGATCAACAACTAAAATAAAAGTAATGAATACGTATAGAATATAGATCATACTCCGAACAAATCATCACGTGTCTAAAACAGTTCAAAAAATGCCAATCATAAAAATAAAGTAATATTTCTACTAAATAGCCTTTAAAACGACATCGTCACACATTCTTGTAGTTTAAACGTACAAAATAAAAGTCAAAAAAGTATTACACATATACAACTCCTTATTGTTTTTAATACATTTGACTATTTATAGCGTTGATCTCTTCCAATCATACCTTTTTATTATAATGCAGTATTTTAATTATTTCATCTAGTATATTTATTGAGATCCATAATTTTAGGAGGTTATTCTCATTCCTTGTATGTAGTATTTAGAACTGTCGTGCCACTCCTCACTGCTTAAACACATTTAATAAACGAAATTAGAAGTGCATACCAACTTTTTTGACAGTGTGCAATGGTCATGTTATGCCTACACTTTCTGGTAGTGTATTATGCCCATATTTTGGGCATTGTTTTTGGTGCACAACACTTAACTACACTTTCTAGTAGTGTGTTATACACATATTTTGGAAGTGTAAACCAACTTAAATACATTTTTTTACAGTGTGGAATGATCATGCTTTGGCAGTGTGGATACATGTTATATTGGGTATGACGACAGTGTGTTATGCCCATGTTCTAGAAATATATGTCAACTTAAACACATGTTTTGCAGTGTGGATTGTGGAATGCAATTAAGGACAAATTTGGAATTGCATCTACTAGAGTTCCAATTGTTAGACAAGACGTGCAACTCTAGAGGGGGGTGAATAGAGTTGTTGAGAATGTTTACCGATTTTTGCAGGGTTAATAATATAAACGTAAGTGCAGCGGAAATAAAAGAGAGAAGGCAAAGAACACACCGATGTATACTGGTTCACCACCTCGTGGCTAGTCCAGTTCCCCGAGAGACTCTCTCGAAGCTACCACTACTTCCGTTAAGCTTACAGGTGCTTAACAAACCGTTTACAACTCGAGAACTTGAATCCCACAAGCCTCGACATAACCGCTCGTAGATATGCCCTCTACAAGACTTCACAACCAAGACTTAAGTCACGTAAGTCTTGAACAACAAGAAGAACAATCTTCTTCAACCTCTCAACAATAGCTCTCAAAAGAGTAGAAATGAGAAATGATTAAAGCTCTAATGGATGACAAAACACTCTCTTGAAAACACTTAGTTTTCTCTCAAAATATATATCAATTTGAGGAAGAATTGAATGGAGGATTATAACCTCAAGAATGGGGAGTATTGGAGTGTTTCTAATTAAGAAAAATGACCAAGGAAGTGTGTATAAATAGGAGTTGATAAAATATATCCGTTGGTCCAAGAAAAAGAGTTGTGCTGAAAGATGCAGCATAAAAATCGATTAATGCATCACCATAATCGATTGATGCATCATCTTAATCGATTAATGCAGATGAAAAATCGATTAGACGGCGCTGCGAGAACTAATCGATTAAAGAAAAGGAAAAAATCGATTAAACTCAAGACCTGAGTAATCCAGCGCTAATAAAAAACAACTAATCGATTAAACACTTATGGTTTAATTGATTAAGTGAATGTTGTTGGGAATTAACACAAAACACACACAAATATCTGCGAGAATCAAGAGAGAAACGGAACACAAAAGACACACAAGAATTTAACGTGGTTCGGTTTCCCTAATCCATGGCTGCAACAGGAGGAATTTCTTATTTCACTTGTGGTCACTCGATTAGAAATACAAGCCCTCTATATATAGGGGAAAAACAACCTAGGGTTACATCACATGGGTCGGGCCAACAAGACAAGCCCAAGCCTCCACAAACCCAACATTCTCCCACTTGGAGGGTTGATAACCATCAATTGCCATCCGCCACGATCGCTTGTACATCGAGTAATCTTCCTCAGCTCTCCTGTTGCAGCGGCCCTCTCCTCAGACAACTCAAAGGCCCGTTGAAGCTCTCCCAAGCTCCAACACATCAGTCACGGCTAAATCTGCCCCTGACTCATCCTCGGTCCCTACCGGCTCCCACTGCAGATGCACACTACCGAATCCTGGAACATCCTGAGAACAAACACTCTCCATACTTAGCAAGAAATTTTCTGGAGATGTTTCAACAGCTGGAATAATGGTTCTTCTGACCCACTGTCTTCTAGGCAACTTGGCTGAAGCGCCTCTTGAGCTCCCACTGCCACAAATACCTCTGACTGGCCCCGTTGAACCTTTCCATGCTCGTTCATCCTGAGTCTGACCAATGGCTCTAGGTTTCTCTCTTGCAAAGACAACCTTATTCTGCTCACGAGACTCTGTGAACCGGACTTTGTTTCTCTGCTGAACTGGGACGGTCACTCCCTCAGATGGTAACTCGACCATATACAACGAACCTTTCTTCTTTCCACGGGCCATGACAAGATTTCCCTTCACGACCTTCCACTGCCCATCTCTGAACTTCACCTCGTGTCCCTGTTCGTCCAACTGCCTGACAGAAATCAAACTTTTCTTCATGGCTGGAACCACTCTGACATCCTTCAAAGTCCAGAAACCGACTGAGGTCTTCAACACCATGTCACCCATGCCCGTCACCTCAAGAGCACTGTCGTCTGCTAGTCGTACCTTTCCAAAGTCCCCAACAACTAGATTCTATAATGCTTCACCACTGTGGGTAGCATGAAATGAAGCACCAGAATCCATGACCCAGGAATCCACATTGCTTTCCTCACAACAAGTAAGAAGGACCTCTTCATCACTCGTGCAGCCTTCAGCAATGTTCACTTTCTTGTCATTCGGGCATTGATTCCTAAAATGCCCCACCTCCTTGCACTTCCAGCACGTTAGACCTGAGCTGTCACGAGTCTTCGACTGACTCCTTTGTCTGTTCCTGCTCCCACTACCTTTGCTATTTCTTCTGCCTCTACCAACATGAAGCAATTCACCAGATGACTCCCCTGAACTCTTTCTTCTGACATCCTCGCCAAGAACGAGATCTCGAATCTGATCAAAGGTGAATCCATCGGGTCCCACTGAACCGGTAACCGCTGTAACCGTTCCAGACCAACTATCAGGTAAAGACGATAGCAGTAGCAAAGCTTGAACTTCATCATCGAACTTAATGCCCACTGACAAAAGTCTGGCCAAGATCGAATTCAACTTGTTGATATGCTCGGTAACTGAAGTGCCTTCTTTCATTCTTGTGTTCACCAGCTCTCTAATCAGAAAAACTTTGTTCGCTGCAGATGGCTTCTCGTACATGTTAGACAACGCTTCCATAATTCCTTTCGCTGTCTTCTCCTTCAGAATGTTGAACGCAACATTCTTGGTCAACGAGAGACGGATCACGGACATAGCTTTCCGATCCAAACCTGCCCAATCTGCATCTGACAACTTTTCTGGCTTGTCACCCAAAACCACGTCCAAATCTTTCTGAACCAGCAAATCTTCAATTTGCATCTTCCACCAACTGAAATCTGTACCATCGAACTTCTCAATTCGGAACTTCCCGTCTTCTGTCATATCACACGACTAGACGAGATACCCGGTACAACTAATTTCAGATCTTGATATTTTTTCGTCAGAAGAATAGGAACAAGACCACTTACTCACCAATTACAAATAAAACAGGCCCAAGGGAAAAAAAAAACAAGTGGACTGGACAAAGGATGACGGCCCAACCCTTTTTTCCTTCCTTTCCTGCCAACAAGCTGCTCTTCGCCTCCTTTTTGGATCGGCAACCCAACTGCAGGTAGGCAAATCGACTGCGGCGGCTCCTCAACCCGGCGGTGGTGGCTCCTCAACCCGGCGGCGGCGGATCCTCAACCCGGCGGCGGCTCCTTCGGTGCTGCGGTCCCCCTCGAACCAGCGACGCGACGGCGATTGGTGTATTGGACGGACCTACGGCAGAATCCTGCACCGGCGCGCGGCTAAACGGATCTCCAGCGGCTACTTCGACGGCGGCGTTGGTTTGCTCACCCTCGCTCCTGCGCGTCTCTCCTCTGGATTGCAGAACCTGCCGCTAGGCAAATATCCCTACACAGCGACGCTTTTCAACGGCAAAGGATTCGGACGGCTGCGGCTGCACAAGAACAGATATGGAAAACCCTAGGCGACAAATTTCTCACAATTTGTGCTCTCTTGTTGTAGAACGAGGCTCTGATACCACTTGTTTGGAATTAACACAAAACACTCTGCGAGAATCAAGAGAGGAATTTCTTATTTCACTTGTGGTCACTCGATTACAAATACAAGCCCTCTATATATAGAGGAAAAACAACCTAGGGTTACATCAAATGGGTCGGGCCAACAAGACACGCCCAAGCCTCCACAAACCCAACAAATGTGCTGGAGAAATGAACTAGATCTAATCGATTAATGTAGAAATGTTAATCGATTAATAAAGAAATAATGGCGTAACACAAAGGGCCCAAGCTAAGGCCAGTTGAGATAGATAAAGAATTGGCTTAATACTCGTTGTTTGAGACAACTGGAATCAGGGAGCGCTCCTCCTCTCTATTCAATGAATTTGAATAAGGGAGTAAAAGTGAGTCCAAAAATTATTTTGTGTGTCAAACGTTGTACACAAAAAATATTTGAATAAAATATTTTTGCTTACCAAAGATATTTTATAATATCAAAATAAATATTTGAAAAATGTTTGACACACCTTTTGTAACTGGCTCAATAAAACTATTTTGAACAGTTAAAAAGATTTTTCAACTGACTCCAAAAATAAGTATAATTTTTATTTTAACTCTCATAAAGATAATTTTGGAGAGAAGATATTTTGTCATCCTTACAAATATTCCTACGACTCAAATAAATAAAAAGGTCTTCGGAAATCTTCTACTCCTCCGAGTCCTCCGTTAGGCGATCCGAACACGTCTCGGACTTCAATAAAATCATGTACACCTTCTTGAATACTTCAAGGAATGACACTTCAAGTCTTCGTGTGTGTCGTTGTAGCACTTTGATCTTGACTTGAATAAAGTGTGTTTGTCAATTATCAAACCATGTGAGTCAACACTTAACAACACAGAAAGTGTTGAACTCATGCATTCCAACACCAATATCTCATAACAGTGCTATATTGAGTATTTTAAGCATATACTAGTGCTATGACGGTACTTCTCCCAAAGTATTATTATTATATTTATAATCACGTTATCTTAATCAATGTATTTAAGGTAAAAAATTATTGTCATTTTTCATACACAAAAATATACTTTCACAAAAAATATAGTTAGAATATAAAGTTGGCATAAATATTACTCCGTAAAATCTTAAATTTTAAAAAGTTATTGTGGTTAGTTCCACCTCAATTTATTTATGCAATATTTATTCTTAACAACTATATTTGTAATTATACTTTATATATTACAAGATTTTATTTTAAATATCAGACCTCTCAAATAGAGTGATCAAATCTATTTTTTTTAACGATTGACTTTGTATTTGCATTGTAACTCTTATTTTGGGACTAAAAATATAGAACTCACATTTGGTACATTTTTATGTTTTACTCAGAGTTTAGTGTTTTTATTTAAAATATTTTGACTTTTAAATTTTCTTATAAAAGTTTGAAAAATATTTTTCTTATATCAATTAAGAAGAGCGTGGAAAAAATTAAAATTTCAGATTAAAAATTTTAAGTTTCAATTTGTAAATTTTCATTGTAATTTTTTTTATTTTTAATCTTTAATTTTTAATTTTTTATCTTTTAAATTTAGAATTCAATTCTAATTTCATATATTTTAATTTTTTTATCTTTTAAATTTAGAATTCAATTCTAATTTCATATATTTTGTGCTACTAAACAATAGAATCGTAATTTTATTGTTTATAAAAATTTTGTTATTTTACTTAAATGTCAATAAAATCAATACCGGCAGATAAAACTTTGCCGCGCAACACATGATGGGTGCGATCACCGGATCCCATCAGAACTCAGAATCTAAGCGTGCTTGGGCGAGAGTAGTACTATGATGGGTGACTCCCAAGAAGTCCTAGTGTTGCACTCCTTTTTGTTCTTTTCATCATTTTTTTTTGCAAATCATGAGCTTGATTCTTTTTAAACACCGTTGTGCGACCACAAAGGATTGTGTAGAGCATCCAAAGTGTGTTGGGTAGCCACACAAAGCGATCAACGCGCTGAGAGGTTAACGGGGAAGGCAAACTAGTAACATGGAAAAAAAAAATAAAACAATGAAATAATTTATAAATTATAGTTATGAACATAATAGTTGCAATAATAATACTCTGTAATAATGAAGATTATTATTATTATTATTATTATGATAATAATAATTATAATAATAATTATTATGACAATAATAATAATGACATTAAAAATACATCATTGTTAGAGTAAATTGTTTGGTGAGTAGAAAGAGTTTGAAAAAAATGAGAATAATTAAAAAACTGAAAAAATTGAAAAAAATGGGAACAAATTGAGAAAAATTAGAAAGAACTGAAGAAATTCTAAGAACTAAAAAAATTAGGAGTCAAGACTTTAAGTTTTAAAAAAAACTTTTAGAACGGACGAAAAAAATGAGATAATTATCGCGTGAGTGGCGTGACCGAGGTTGGGTCTCTGGCCCAATTCGTGATGCTAAAAAGGAAGTGCTTGGACCGATAGATATGACCCAAAAAAGTTCAGACCGCGGGAAACCCAACTTGCAGTCTTCTCCTCCATCTTCGTCTCTGTCTCTTGCCCAGAGAGAGAGAGAGAGATGGCGAACAAGCTCATCAACCAAATGGGTCTTCCCAAGTCGATATCCAACATCTTTGTCGCTCGTAATATCCTCACAGCCAAGGTTCGTCTCCCATTTCAATTTCTATTTCCCGCACTTATTCGCTCGTTATTCTCTACTGTGCTTTGATGATCTGCATCTTATATTCTTATTGTTTGTAGTTTGATCTCCATTTTTTGACCTTATTTTACCAGGATGCGCTTTCGCTGACTGAATTTGAATTGATGGAATTGCTGGACTTGAATTTCTCCGAGGTCATTTCTGCAGTTACACACATAAGTGAAATCGCTTGTCCCCCGTTCCAAACTGTAAGCCCTTGTTTTTTCTTGTTTGTGAACGTTTTGATTGCAGGCTAACGGGGAGATTGGTAATGTGTGGATTTGTGGTTTCCCAATTGTGCAGGCTTTATCTCTGCTGGAAATGCGTGTCAAAAGGGAGAGCTTTGCAGGCCACCTTCCAACCCGTTTGAGAGGACTAGATGCTACCTTGTGTGGTGGAATTCCATTTGGTGTTGTTACTGAAGTTGTTGGTCCTGCTGGGATTGGCAAAACCCAGGCAAGATAGTTTTAATCAAGTGTTTTGTTTGATGGATTAGGTTTCCTTACTTCGATGCGCATACTAAGACCCGAAGATCCTTCCCCAGGAGACCTAGCCACCTAGGGGAGTTAAGTATGAATCTCATCGGTACCGTATCATGTGTACGCTTTTGATTGATGTCTGGTCATGCCACAGCCAGTCCCCATGTTTTTGGTTGGTTTGGGCCTCCACAATACCATTTTAACGGTCACAATTGATCCAACCAAGTAGCAGCACTAGGAGCTAGAGAACCATCAAGATAGCTTTATGTTTTGGCTTATGGCTCATATTTCTGTCCTTGTCAGGGTATAAGTGTCATAAAAGGGTATGTGTTTATATTGTTCTAAACTATGCTGATTGCTAGCACAAGATATCATATGATAGAATAAGCTATAAGCCTTCACATTATTTTGTTGCTCCATCCCTTTGGTTATTTCTCTCTAGGTCAGAGCGTGATGGGTCCAACATAAAACTGTTCTGTGAAGCTCATATTTCTTATTACTCTCTGATGCATAGTTCTGCCTCAAGCTCTCACTACTCGCTGCACTTCCTTCTTCTTATGGAGGGTTAGACGGGCACGTGTTGTTCATTGATACTGAATCTAAATTCAGCTCTAAAAGGTTCTTCAATGGATATTCGTATTAATAGTTCCTACATTGTGGCATATAAATATATAATCTACCAGTGTTTTTTAACCCATTGCTTGGTTTCAGGATGATAGAAATTGGAGTGAATAGCTTCCCAGAAGTATTTCACAAGGAAGAGATGGCGCAACTGGTACGTTGCTTATTTTGCTGTATATATTATGTCACATTCTTTACATTTCAGAGGATCTGGATAAGTAGATCAACCTTCTTTTTGAATGTTATTATAATTGGGCAATGATAAATTGTTGATTTGGCTGATCATATACAGTAGACAATAGTCTGATCTTGTTTGCTTGCTTGTTTGTTTACTTGCTACAAATGCACAAAAGCCTGTATTGAAACTGATGCCTTCATCCAGAGAGTTACCCCTTGACCTGTCTTTAATGAAGTAGTGCGATACTTTATATTTCAAGATTTAAGGAAGCTCTGGCTTATCTTGCAGATGGCAGGGCGGATCATAGTTCTCAGACCAACATCACTTTCTGACTTTACAGAGAGGTTTGAAGCTATTTTGACATATCTGCTTCGGGTAATTTACCTAAATAGGATTAAAACATAATGACTTTCTCAATG